TCACACGGCCCTGGGGGCAGGAGCAATGGCTGCAGGAGGCTGCTTTCCAGGCCTGTGTCTGACATATTCCAGGGAGCACAGATGGTTTTCTGACCTCGCCAGAGTTAAAGACCAACATGCTACCTTGAACACCATCATCAAGGGCTTGTTAAGTGCACACTGTGTTCAAAGCTTTGCGTTGAGCTCCTGAGGAATTTCAAAGAAAACCTGAGCTCTGATCCCAGGTGTAGGAGTGGCCTTCATTACAGGGGCGAGCAAGACACAGTGCAATTTAACGCTTATCAATAATGAAACTTAGAAAAGAACACAAAACAAGAAAGTTAACGACCAACGAGAGAGCTGCAGAGCTGCAGGAACGGCAGAGAGCAATGCTCAGGCAATTCCTGAGGGTAGGAGACTGCAACAGCAGAGAGCTGTTCCCAGGCTCAGGAGACCAGCACAGTGTTTACCTCACTAGAGGCATCCAGTGCGGAGGATGGCTGCATGCCAGCTCGTTTGCACATGAGGTGCTGAAACCCCAAGCAGATGAAGGCAGGAAATACAGGCAGGCAGGAAACCCGGGCTGGGAGGTGGGTCCCGTTGTGGTGAGGACAGAAAGTTGCTCAGCTCATAAGGAGGAGGACAAAGAGCACCTGCCAGGTCTCTTACTGCTGTGGGGAGCACCTGAGAGGGAGCCCCTCTGTCTTGTCCAAGGGCAACTGTTTCACCGCATACACATGAGCTCTCCTGCCTCTGGCGCACCCGCTGCTCTTTCTCCCTCTCTTCCCCAAACCTCTCGAGGGTCCTCCTCTGTGTTAACCACTGGGCAGTCAGCCGGCAAACAAGACAGGCAGAGCTCCCGCCTTCCCGCTGTTTGATAGACTGGACATTCCACAGACAATGGTAAGATTTTTCCACCACAAAGTTTGGTGTACTTATTCTTAACATTTTAGAATTTGAAACTGGAAATAAGAGCATCCAAAGTTTCATATGTTAGTCTTTAAAATTAATTATTTTAAAATTAGAATCCTCTGTTGCAAATACAAAGAAAGGGCACTGAACGCGAACAATGAGGGATTCTAATTCAGGAGGCGCAGTAGGAGAGGAGGAAACCTGGTATTATCCAACACAGTGAACAAGAGCTCAGTTTCATTTACGGGGCATGTTTAGGTCTTGCAGTGCTGGCCTCATCCTGGGTAACTTCTTGGTTTCTGGTGGGCAATCCTCTCTGACAGTTCAGAAATGAACCAAAACCTCTACTTGGCTTCCCAGGACTGTCCCGAGAGAGGCGAACCAACCTGCACGGCTGGAGAGAGGGGTGCAGATTTTCTTGAAGAACAGTAAAAATCTCTTTAGCATCCAATAAGCAGCCGGTATTTTTGAAGGTGATCACTCCAGAGTTTCCAGCAGAAGCAGAAAGCCTTGCGTTGCAGTAGTGCGCACACTGAGGAGACAGCTGTGCACGAAGCCACGGGCTGTGGGGCACAGCTCATGGAGGCAGGAGAATGGCACAGCACTAACTTGCAGCCTTCACCCCGAGCCACATCTTGAAAGAAGGGCCACAGGGTCCCCCTCGGCCCAACACAGATCGAGAGAAAGTATTTCACTCTGACCATTTTACAAACCAGTTCTGTGATGTGCACAAGTACTGACATACTGGATCAAGTTCTGAATGTGGCAGTGCCAGGTACACACTCACAGGTTACGTTTATGTTAGGTGGTGCTCTTTTCAATGATGGGCAGTCTAGAACTGTTGCCTGAATTTGTCTCTCACAGCAAGGAAAAGAAGTTTTATTTTTTAATTAAGTACTGTTATTATTTCAGAGTATTAGGGATTTGAGCTACATCTGCAACTCTTTTTTATTTTTAATTTTGAGCCAGGAGCACACTAAGTTGATGAGAAAGTTGCCCGGGCTGGGCTTGAACTTGTGATCCTCCTGCCCCAGCCTCCCAGAGGGTTGTGATTATAGGCATGCACCACCACACCCAATAAAGTTTTATTTTTTAAAAATAAAACAATCAAAGGAAGACATAAGTGTTAAATGAGATAGGAGGAATGCTGTTCATTTCATTTTATGAAGGTTACACTCACAGGTAGAAGTCGATAGATAGGGTTACTGTACTACGCTTTACTTTTATCAAAGTAGCCTCCCCTTGTCAATACTGGTGTTTGTGGGTGCAGCAAAAAGACATCCACACAAATGGAGACCATTTATCCACCTTGCTGAACAGAGAAGTCTGAATATGAAATGAACCAGACAAGCAGCCCCTCACTGCCACACAGATTTAAAGTTGCCGTCTAAAATGCAAGCACTTCAGAAAATAAACACAGGGAGAAAGTGGCTGGTCCCCTTGGCAAACAAGTTGCCTCAGAAAGGAGACATGAGCCTGGGTGACCAACCCAACTTTTCAAACCAAACCAGAGGAGAGGTCCCGAGCAGCTCCACAGATAAGACTCAGAGGAAGATTTCATCTGTTCCTTTGGCGGGGGGACGCGGGGATTGAATGCAGGGTCTCTTGTACGCTAAGAGCATGCTGTACCACTGAACTTTACCCCAAACCCAAACTGCCTTTTCAACACATCATTCAGGATCGGCACTCGGGACCGGCAGAGGCGGGCAGAGGGGCACTCTGCTCACATGTGCTCCTCAGCAGGCTCCGGGAGGTGAAAATGTCCGGCTGGTAGCCGTCCAGTGCCTGTGTGCCAACTGATATCTGCATCTTGGCCTGGCAGTGATGAACGACACACCTGTCTTGTCTCGCAAAGTGAGGCACCAAAGCCACAACCACCACGCTTGCCCGAATTCCTTCCAAACCAAGCACAAGCAGCCAACGTTCAGCCCCACATTTCCAGCGCCTCTTCAAGTGAAACCAGGCAGCCAGGCCCCTGCTAAGTTTTGTTTTAAGGACGTTACAGACAAGGGGAAAGGCACACAGGACTGGGAGGGAAGAAAAGCACACCTCTGGTTTACTAAAGTTACTCTCAACGCCTACTTTTTTTTTTTTTAATAGAAATATAGTCATCAAAGAGAAAGCAGCAATTTAAATGCCAAAAGCAGCAGGCAGAGCTGAAAGGAGGGTGCCCGCATGATTAATTGCACTCACAGCACAGCCTCTTCAAAGCTGATCTCTCCCGCTTTGTAGGGTGG